TTTTAATATTAAATTAAATTTAAATTATATTAAAAATAAAAAATTTTAATAAATATAAGATACAATAAAATTTTAAATTTAGATCATTTTAGGAATTAGGATAATTCATATCTCATCGCATGTGCTGATTTTTTAGATGAGGAACGTCCTACGTGGCTTCTGGTTTCTCCGGAACAATCTGTAACTGACTTCCAAACTACTAGATTTCTCCCCCTCCTCCTTTAAATACCCCATATGTCCCCTTTTCTTCTCACCGTTGAAGGAAGCGAGCGAGCGAGCGAAATCGAACCGTATTGCAGCAGATCGTATAATTCTCTTTCCAATCTTTCTTATCTAATCCAAGATTAGAGAATGTCGTTGATTCCGAATTTCTTCGGTGGCCGAAGCAGCAGTGTTTTCGATCCTTTCTCTCTCGACGTCTGGGATCCCTTCAAGGATTTTCCTTTCCCCTCTTCTCTCTCACCCTCTCTAGAAAATTCTGCGTTTATCAGCACTCGGGTGGATTGGAAGGAGACCCCGGAGGCTCATGTTTTCAAGGCTGATCTTCCAGGGTTGAAGAAGGAGGAGGTGAAGGTCCAGATTGAAGACGACAGGGTGCTTCAGATAAGCGGAGAGAGGAACGTCGAGAAGGAAGACAAGAACGACAAGTGGCATCGCATTGAGCGCAGCAGTGGCAAATTCATGAGGAGATTCAGATTGCCTGAGAATGCAAAAATGGATCAGGTAAAAGCTTCCACGGAGAATGGTGTTCTGACTGTAACTGTTCCAAAGGAAGCGGTTAAGAAACCTGAGGTTAAAGCCATCGAAATTTCTGGTTAAGAAGAGTGTCATTCCCTGCTTTCTCTCTGGGCTTGTAGTCTCAAATGTGTCTGTGTGAAGTCAGAACTGAAAGAGTGTCTTTTGTACAATGGTGTGTTCTGTTTTTTTTTTTTTTTTGGTCGTCATTACCTTGGGATGGATAGGAAAGAGAGCATCGTCTATGATCCTTTCCTGTAGATTTCATACTTGGTCTTGATTAGTGTGGCTTCGGAATAAAATATAAGCACGTTTTCTTATTAAATCATTTTTTGGATTTTTTTTCTTATTTAACTTGGTTCATTCTGGGTTTGTAACTCGAGCCTGTATTGTGGAAGCAGCACGAATTGCATTGCTGAGAAATCATAAAACTATGCTTGGCGCGATGAGTGGAGGTAAAAGTTTGGGAGATGATGAGATGAGTGGGGGTAAAATTACATTAATTTTACTCCACCTGGATATGGAAAGAAAAGTGGAAGGAGGAGGAAATTGATGAGAAAATAATATGTGGGGTTTACATATTTTTTTTTTCAACTTTTTTTAAATATAGAGAAATTTTGAAAAGAATACTCTATTTTTAAATTCAGCATGAATATTTTTCATCTACTCCTACTACCTTCCTTTATTCTGGTCCTTTAAAATTTTTAGATTATTATACAATTAATAATTTTATAAAAAAATTTAAAAGTAGACAAAGTAATTTTGTTATCTAAACATAGGGAGAGAAAATCACTTTTTTTTTTCACTTCTATATTCTTTCCATTTTTTCTTCTTCTTTTTTTGTCTCGCTATTTTCTTTTGTTAACTAAATGCACACATTAATTCAAAATCCTATGGGAGAAGACACTCTGAAATTGATTGAGTATTATCAGTTCAGTTTACCGCTCGCCGCACTTCAAACAGACATCATTATACTGGTTTTGCTACTGGTTCTGCAGCTTTCACATGCGAGTTTTTTTTTTTTTTTTTAAGAGTCTGCATGTTGAGGTTTGGATTAACTTTAAGTCTGTATTTTTGCTCGTTTTCTTTGTTTGCTTGTTGGTTTGTCACTGTAGTTTTTTATTTCATCATGTCTGTGTGGTGTTGTATTTTCTCAAGGGCCATTGGGACGCCATGGTTTGTTTGTAATCGTTTTATTTTTAATAATATTTTCCTTCATTTCCCAAAAAAAAAAAAAACCAAAGCACACATTGCTACGGAAATTTGTTTTGAAATTGCATTTTCCTCCAAGTGTATTCATATTATTTTAAATATTATTGTATAGTTTTTCATGTTCTCATTGATCATTAAATTCCATAAATAAAACACGACCAATGTAATGTAAATTTAATATAGCGTTAAATGACATATTTGTTTTGGAAATTTTTTTTAGAAATACCTGAGGCTCTAAACTTTTTTTAGAGCATTTTTATTCAGAAAGTTTCAAAAAAAAGAATATTTTTGCCTTGCTATTAAATACTAAAAAGTTAACCATTAAATTAAAGTTTGATTAAAAGTTAAATAGCATATGTGTCTTTGAATTTCGTTTTTCAAAGATGTTGGATATTTTAAACTTTTATTTGGAGTTTATTTGCATTAAAATTTTTAAAAATGAAATAATTTTGCTCTCCCTTTTTCATCACCCTCTTCTTCTTCCTTTTCCTCTTCCACTAGCAAGCTCTCACATTATCATAGATTAGAGTTCAAATGAGAAGTTAGAAAAAATGGATGTTCGAGATTTGCGAGCCTCACAAAAAGTCTTGCGTTTGGCGTGGCACTTTTGCCCTACAAAAAAGTCTACTCAAGCCCACGACATTACTGCTTTGTTCATCAAAGGCAAATCCTTCATTTTTAACTTCCCCTAGATTATCGTCGTCCTCCCCATACTTGCCATGTGCTCCCCATGTAACATTCAATTTGTTGCTTTTGTCATCACCGCCATGGTCAAGTTTAATGTCGTGAAGCCCTCAAAAGTGTCTGAGTCAGGGTCGAAGTTTGTAGAGTCATCGTAGTTAAATAAGATAGTAAAATTGTCAAATATAGAAGAAGAGAGCTTTCACACAAGAGTTCATATGAATTGACTTAATGTATAGTTGATTATTTGCAGGTATAAGTATGGATTTGGATGATTTGGAATTGAGTTCCATTTTTTCCCAACAATTTTCAAAAGGGAGATTGACACTTCGCATGTGACTAAAATAAAATTGCAATGAAAAAGGCCAAAAAAAAAAAAGACTTGTGGATGATTTTATTATTCCTTGCTTGAATTGTTATTGATGTTTTTGATTTTTGCTTGATGTTGTTTTTGTTTGATGGTCATGGAGTTATTCTTGCTATTTAGGTGGATTTTTTTCCCTAAAAAATGCAACATGACAACTAAAATTAAAATAACGGTTAATACTGACCACAAGATAAAATTGTTTTCTTTCTAAGACTTCTAAGAAAAATATGCTTGAAACAAAAGTTAAGAATACCTAACACTCTTGAAAAAAAAATAAGGCAAATATGTCATTTAACTCTTAATTAAATTTTAATTTAATGATTAATATTTTTAATATCTAACAATGGGATAAAAATACTCTCTTTTTGAAACTTTTGTAGTAAAAATGCTCTAAAAAAGTTTAAGATATCATATATTTTTTGGAGAAAAAGTTTTAGAGCAAATATGCCATTTAATTCTTTAATATGTACAAGAATTTTTATACCTTCACATAATTGAATTTTGTATGAGCTTTTGTAATTAATTAATGTAATTATAATAAATATATTATAAGATATATGTCTATTGTTTCGTGTATATGGGATTGAAAGTGCCTGGGTTCGAACTCGTGGCTTGACTTGTGAAAGGAAAACACCTTCACCACCAAGCCATAGGATTCACCTAGACGGGTCTATTGTCTGCAGCCCAAAACAGTCTATTTTTAAAAATATATGTTTTTTTTTTTTTTTTTCCATAGTTACGGCTCCAAACCAAGGTATGGAATATTTATCTCCGTAATGCGTAATGCCTGGCTTAACAGACTCTCTCTTTAAAAAATATAATATATTTTTAATTAAATCTCACTTTCAATAAATTAATTATCTATTTTTAAACTAATTTTATATTTTTATATTTACTTCTATTAAACACCCTATAATAAATATAAAATTATTCATCAATAGGAACACTTAAAAAAAAGACAATGATTATATTTTAAAATATTAAAAATGCCTTATATTTTTAAATGCCCAACTTTTTAAAAGATGTTTTATATTTTTAAATGAAGAGAGTATTATTTTTGCACCCCAACCATAAATTATACCAAAGATTTAAAATACTTAATTATAGTTTTTAAATTTTATAAAATTCATTTATAAAAAAAATGTTTTATATGAAATCTGTACGTAATTTTTCCTACTTTGATTGAATTTTTCGAGAGACGAGACACTATCCGAAATAGGTAGTCTCTGATTTTTTTTCCCCCTTCTTTTTGATAAAGGAAAAAATAAAAAAACACTTTCTCGTTTACGTTTGACCAATTTGACCGTCTAGAAGGGTATGACACATTGCCATATGGTGGTTGCTGCTTCTTCACAGTGTTCCATTTCTTCTTCATTGTGTTCTCTTATTTTCTCCTATGTTTTGTTCAAAGCTTTAGCTTTGGGCTGGGGACAAATAAGAGTTATGTGTAGTTATCCAATTTCGTATGTGGAAGAAAGCTCGTGATGGTTGAAGACTTTCATATTTATGGCTACTCTAAAGTCTAATTCAGCCTTTTTAGTTTCCGATTTTTTTTTCCTGCCAGCTTGAATTTTAAATTCACCCTCATTGGAACTTGGAAGTTAGAGCTGGCAAATTTTCCGACGTACTGAAAAATTTTGCAAATCCTTCATTGGATGTCTCAGCTCTGTTCTATTATGAGAGAAGCCACTGAGCTCCACCCGTTGAAGCACGCAACTAGAAATGGAAGCATCTGAATCAAAGATTCAGTCCAAATTCTGAAATGGCGTGAAGCTTTTGCTAACGCATGGTGGAAAATTGCGAAGAACAAACGTCAAGGATCCATAGGTGAAATACATCTAGAAGACGAGGATGACTTAAAATTCACTGAGCCCCAAATCTCCACTAACCCATTTCTATTCCGCCTCCAAATTATCTTAACTAATATGATACTGAATAATTATAAGCAATTTTCATTTAAAGAGTAGAATTTGAATAAATTGCTTACGGAAAGAAATAAAAATAATTAAACAACGAAAAACCAACTCAGCTTATTTCAAACAAGACAGACCATGTTGGTCCAAAAACAAACAAGGCAGACCATGTAAATTTATAGAAAAACACACGTGTTAAAACTTACACGACACAACGCTCTCCTCCACATTCACACCAGAAAGCAGAACACACGATTGTACAAACATATAAAATTCAAGACTCCCTCACGACGACATAGATATTCTTCAATACAAAGCCAGGAAACCCAGAATGTCATTCTTAACCAGAAATGTCTATGGCTTTGACATCAGGCTTCTTAACCTCTGTCTTAGGAACAGTGACAGTGAGAACTCCATTCTCCATGGAAGCCTTAACCTGATCCATTTTAGCATTCTCCGGCAGTCTGAACCTCCTCATGAATTTTCCGCTGCTTCGCTCAACGCGATGCCACTTATCGTTCTTGTCTTCCTTCTCGACGTTCCTCTCTCCGCTTATCTGAAGCACCCTTTCATCTTCAACCTCGACCTTCACCTCCTCCTTTTTCAACCCAGGAAGATCCGCCTTGAACACATGGGCTTCTGGCGTCTCTTTCCAATCAATTCGAGTGCTCACAAATGCAGAGTTTTCCTGGAAAGAAGTGGAAAGAGCAGGGGGGAAAGGGAAATCCTTAAAGGGATCCCATACGTCGAACGAGAAAGGATCGAATACGTTGCTCCCTCGCCGACCTAAGAAACTTGGAATCAACGCCATTTTCTAATCTTCGAACGTGAGAAAGGATAACAAAAGGAAGAAAGAGCAGTGGAAAGTGCTTGGCTGCTTGGGATTGCTGCTCGATCAATGAAAGTACTATGATGCCCATGGAGGCGGATACATCCGGTATTTAAATCAATGTGAGGAGATTTTCCGGAAAGGCCTCAACTTTTCCAGATTTTTCATTTTAACAAGCTATGATTCGGATTTAGAGATAACTTTCGCGAGTTTCAAGCTTTGGACACCAAATGTAGGGGAATGTAGAAGAATTCATTAATTGTGGGCCTGTAAGCCCAATTCGTTATATATTGGGCTTCCTTTATTTGACCTTTTCAGCCCTAATAGTTATCTTTATGTTTCTTTGTTCTTTTTTTAAAATAAAAACATGGAACCGAGGCATCTTGGCCCATATCCTCAATTCCATTCACACCATCTTTAGACAACAAAGCAAGCAGTTCATGTGGTGCGTGAAGCATAAACGTGATCCCTGACATCATATTGAGTTCCATCTTACTGATTAGTTAGTCTTATTGTTTGCGCTCCTGCTGATTTCTCGTATACTGACATCCCAGTCTCTTTGAAATAAAGATGTGACCTCCATAATTGCTCCATAGTCAAAGTGCTCCTAGCCACATCCATTTCGTATTAAAGCAATAGTCTTAGTTGTTCGTGTCTCATGCAAGTCTCAACTAGTGGATACAGGCCCATATTTCAACAGTTAGAGCATTACCTTACTTCATTCCGCAGCAAAAAGCACGTAAGAAACAACCCTGTGAGTCTCGTAGAAGGCTGCCACAAGTTACTAGTAAGCTTTAGTGGGAATAAGCATCATCAATATTACATTTCACCCAATCAGATTTTGGAGGTCCCCATTGGTCACCTACAGTATGAGTCGTGTAACGCTTGTCAAGTTTTAGGCGAGCTTCTTTCAAGCTTCCAACTAAGGCTCTTGTACTTGAGATAATAGTTTCATTATTGATCTTGCTTCTCTCAAACATAAGATTCCTGCGTCTCCATATCCATCAGCTAATAAAAAAATAATAATAATGCTCCCCAATTATCATTTATATTCTTAGAGAGAGATTCCACTTTATCCAGTCGTGGAGTTTCAATCCAAAAAAGTTTTACTATATAACCGTTAGAAGAATAGATTTCCACAACTGATATGTATATTCACAATCTCTAAGAGTATGTATAATGTCTTTTGACTGGAAGCCACAGAGTGCACAAAGATTATCTTCATAAAGACCTCGCCAATTTTGTGCTGAGTTTGTGAGTAGGCTATCATGTGAAACGAGCCATAGAAATGCCCGACATCTCTTTGAGATTTTTAATTTTCATATCTGAGGCCAAATGGGATTAGCCATACTGCCATCATTTTGAAGAGAGGTATAGGCCAAGTTGACAAAGAATAGGCCATTTCTTTCCAATTTCCAGTAACACCTACATTTCCTTGGTTAAGTTCCAATCCATCTATGACTTTACTCTATGTTTGTTTGATTTCAGACCATAAATTTGATCCAGGTTTTTTGACATCAATTCGAAGGAGCAAGTCATCACCACAATTATATTTATTTCAAACCATGTTAACCCAGAAACTCCGCCTATGTTTATAGCCGGTCCCAAGCCCGGGTAAAGGAGGAGGGTTGTGTTATGCCATCAACAGCCAATGTAAAACTTTGTTGAATCTATCAGGAACATGGACAATAGACGTTATAATGTAATGCTAGGTCGTTGCCCGTAAGTAACGCGCTGCATGGCTCGAGTACAGTGATAAGTGAGTTGGAGCCGCTGCATCGGCGCCCGGATGTAGTGTTAAATGAGCAAGGGCTACCGCGTCATTCTGGACGCACGCGGCTAAAGAAGTTAGTCCATAAGAGCAAAATTAGATTTGGTACTTGGAATGTTGGGACATAAATTGTAAATCTGTAGAGGTTGTAGGGGTTATGATTCAAAGGAAAATCAATATCCTTTGCTTGCAAGAAACAAAATGGCGTGGAGAAGAAGCTAAGGATATTCAAGGTTTCAAACTTTGGTATACAGGAAAAGTAAGTACACGCAATGGAGTAGGCATCATTATAGATAAGGAGTGGAAGAAGAACGTTGTAGAAGTTAGCAGAATTGGAGACAGAATTATTTCTTTAAAAATGATAATTGGACGTGAGACTGTTAATATTGTTAGCGCTTATGCGCCGCAAGTCGGGACAGAAGCCAGTCTTAAGGAATTATTTTGGGAGGATCTGGAGGGGTTGATTCGACACATACCACAGAGTGAAAAGATTTTTATTGGAGGAGACTTTAATGGGCATGTCGGGAGGGAAGCTGGTCAGTATGCGAGGGTGCATGGTGGTTTTGGTTTTGGAGAGCTAAACAATGAAGGACAAACTCTTCTTGATTTCTCATTGGCGTATGATTTTAAGATTGCCAACACTTGTTTCAAGAAGAGAGATGAGCATCTCATCACTTACAAAAGTGGAGCCTCAAGGTCACAGATAGATTTTTTTTAGTTAGGAACACAGATAGAAGACTTTGTAAAAATTGTAAGGTGATCCCCGGAGATGCTGTTACGACACAACATAGGATCCTAGTCCTTGATGTGTGTATTATGAGTAAAATCCAAAAACGTCGACAAGTGGTAACACTAAGGATTAGGTGGTCGCAATTAAAAGGTGAGAAGCAAGATATTTTCAAGTGAAATCTTTTGGATAAAGGAATTTGAGAATCTCAGGGAAGTGCTAACATCATATGGGAGGATATGGCTAAAAAGATACGGGAGGTTGCAAAAGTAGTTTTGGGAGAATCGAAAGGTTCTGGTCCAAGAGATAAGGAGTCTTGGTGGTGGAATAATAATGTACAGGATAAAATCAAGTATAAGAAGAACTGTTTTAAAGCCATACATTTGTGTAACAATGAGGAAAATTGGGAGAGGTACCGTATGGCTAAGAAGGAAACTAAAAGAGTTGTGGGTGAAGCTCGTTCTAAAGCTTTTGAAGAATTTTATAAGAACCTTAAGACGAAGGAAGGAGAGCAAAATATTTATAAGATTGCCAAGAGTAGGGAAAGAAAATCAAGAGATCTAGAACAGGTAAGGTGTATTAAGGATGAAGAGGGAAGGATTTTAGTTACAGATGATGAAATTAAAAATAGATGGGAGACTTACTTTTCTAAACTTTTCAATGATAGAGAGGATTCATCTAGTAACTTGGAGGATTTAGTAACTGGTGAAGGAGAACAAAATTTGTCATTCTATCGAATAATACGTGATAAGGAGGTAAAGGAAGCTCTTAAGAAAATGGCAAATAGTAGAGCCAACGGACCTGATTGTATACCTATCGAAGCGTGGAAATGTTTAGGTGAAGAAGGGATGAGATAGTTAACTAAGTTATTTAATGTGATTTTACGGTCCAAGAAAATGCCTGATGAGTGGAGGAGAAGTACATTAATTCCTATTTATAAAAATAAAGGAGATATTCAGAATTGTACTAACTATAAAGGGATTAAACTCATGAGCCACACAATGAAATTGTGGGAGAAAGTAATTGAGCACAGGTTGAGATTGGAGACAAGTATTTCTGAGAATCAATTTGGTTTTATGCCAGGTAGATCAACTACAGAGGCGATTTATCTACTAAGGAGATTAATGAAAAAGTATCGTTGTAAAGATAAAGATCTACACATGGTTTTTATTGATTTGGAAAAAGCTTATGACCGTATACCAAGAGAAGTGCTTTGGAAAGTGTTGGAAAAAAAGGGAGTACGGATTGCTTATATTAAAGCCATACAAGATATGTATGAGGGGTAAAAACTAGTATAAGAACACCTAGTGGTCAAACAAAGGATTTTCCTATAAAGATTGGACTACATCAGGGATCATCTCTGAGTCCTTATTTGTTCAACTTGATTTTAAATGTTTTGACGGAACATATTCAAGAGGAAATCCCAAAATGTATGCTCTTCGCGGATGATATAGTTCTTATAGCAGAGACAAGAGAAGAGGTTAATTGTAAACTTGAGTTATGAAGGAGGACATTGGAGTCGAAAGGTTTTCGTTTGAGTAGAAGTATGACGGAATATTTATATTGTAAATTTAGTAAAGGAATATTCGACAATAATTTGGAAGTGAAATTAGGAGATCAAATTATACCTCAAGTGGAAAAGTTTAGATATTTGGGAGCCATTATTTAAAATGATGGCAAAATCAGTGGAGATATTTCACATAGAATTTAAGCTGGGTGGTTTAATTGGAGAAAAGCTAAAGGAGTTATTTGTGACCGTAAGGTGCCTAATAAACTTAAAGGAAAGTTTTATCGCACTGCTATCAGACCGGCAATGTTATATAGTAGTGAATGCTGGACTCTAACGGGACAGCAAGAGCATAAAGTTGGAGTAGCAGAGATGAGAATGTTACGATGGATGTACGGACATACACGTAAAGATAAAATTCAAAATGAGCACGTACGCGAAAAAGTGAGGGTGGCACCTATTGAGGAAAAAATGGTAGAAAATCGGTTGAGATGGTTTGGGCATGTACAAAGAAGACCAAGGGAGGCACCAGTGAGAAGAGTGGAACATATAACTTTGAGTCTGATTAAGAAAGGTAGAGGAAGGCCTAAGAGAATACTCTTGGAAGTTGTTGAACGCGATCTCTTAATTAATAATATTCCTAAAAGCTTGATAAATGATAGAGCACAATGGCGTCTTGCAATCCATGTAGCCGACCCCACTTAGTAGGATAAAGGCTTGTTTTTGTTGTTGTTGTTGTTGTTGTTGCATGTTAACCTAGAAGTCATCATGCTTTGTCACTATAGACCAACTAAGCTTCCTTAGTAAAGCTTTATTCTGAAGTTGGGCTTCTCGAAGACTTAGACCTTCTCTTTCCTTGGGCAAACACACATTACTCCAAGCAACAAGGGGGATTTTCTTTCCATCCCTTGTATTACCCTAATAGAAATTTCTATTGCATTTATCTAGCTCGCCACAAGTACTAACTGGGAGAGAAGAAGTTTGCATCGTATAGGCTGGTACAGCAATAGTGACAGAAGAAATTAGAGTTGTATGACTAGCAAGAGAAATAGAATTAGCTTTGCAACTATCCAACTTAGCTCTAACCTTATCAACCACCTCTTTAAAAATGTTATTAGTGACCTTTTGATGGTGCAATTGGACCCCAAAATATTTCCTGAGATCCAGTTTGACTACGACATAAAATGTTACTAATTTTTGAAAACTTGGAAGAATGCACGTTAGAAGAGAAATAAATTCTAGTCTTAGCAAGATTTACCTTCAACCCT